TGGCGGTACATCATCTGGGCCCGAGAAGCCCGTCACCAGTCCCCGTGAGACCGTTGCCGCGTTGCGCCGCCATCAGCGCTGGCGCCTGTCGCTGTTGCACGCTCCGCAAGCGGCAATCCCGGGCAGCCTTTGAGGCCTCCACCCGGCCAGTGTATCCATCGGCAAAGATTCGCCACGAGTCGCAGCCATCCCCGGCCCCACCGATTGCCATCGGGGCTGGCAGCCCCTCGATCCCGATCGCCGGTGCGAGCCAATCGACGCGCATTATCTGCAGCCGATCGGTGCAGATCCATCCTTCCGGCAGTGCTGCTTTGTCGGGCGCAGTTTGAATGAAGGCGCAGCTTCGTGAGCCAAGCGCGTGCGTCCAGAAGGGCGCCGCGTGGAGCCCAGTGCGTCACGCCACTTCCTGGGATACAGGACCTTTGTGGCGTCGGTATCGTGTCCCGTATCTTGGCCGAATCGGGCGCACATCGAGATATTCATAAGCATGGCCGCATTGTCGTCTCCGTGTTCTCCTTCTATGTAGAAATTAGTCCGTTTGGAGGAGATTAAGCTCTTTTGTACTTTTGTGAATTTCGCCGCTTCCTAGCCCCCTTTTGAGGCTCACGGATCGTCAGCTTGGCATAAATTACATATCATATGTTGGCGACCGGAACACTCCGCGAATCAAACCATAGTACTTTCCCTAGTACTTTGCATTTCACAAATTCCGCTTTCCAACCGAAATCACCGTCGTAGGGATGGGCGGGAGGGAGTTCAAACAGGATGGACATGGTCAGGGGGCGCCACCCTAAAATAGGCGGCACACCTTCCCGCCAAAACTTGTCCAGCCTCTCACGTGATCACCGGCTGTGGCTCCCTTGAAAGCATGACCGAGTACAGCCATTCGACCGGCCATCACTTGCCGCCCTTGGGCACTGACGTCCGGGCGACGGCCAGGGTCACCACCCCAGGTGCCGTACGTACGTACGTATGCGGACGTATGGGGCCGTACGTATGCAGCCGTATGGGCCGTACGTACGTATGCGTGCCGTATACGGCACCTGGGGTATACCCTGCCTAGACTGCTCACGTGTTCTCGTTTCCCACCCACATCTCCCAATGCAGAAACTCGAAGTCAATCCCCGGAACTGCATGGCGTTATTTCACCAAGATCGTGTTGTCCCCAAAGAACATTAATGTGATCGAAAACTACCTCAACAACAAAGCTAGGTCAATCGATCTCAGAATTCAATCAAGAGAATGCCTTTAGGAGATTTCGTGAACGTGTTGTATTTCTTTTGTCACAAAGTTCCAATTTGAAAGCAAAGGAGTAGGCATAGGAAAGGAAGCTACCAGCTGAATGCCGCACCAGGAATAGCAACATCCTGGCGTCAGTAACCTTTGCATGTCCCATAGAAATACTTTTCTGCACAACAGTTTTCCCGCGTCATCTCAAGCAGGGAATCACATATTGAAATTCATACTAATCCCTAGCCATCAAGCACAAACGATCCACCCAGTGTAATGTTGGCCATTATGCGGCTCAGCGAACAGGATGACATTGGAGTGGATGCTCGCCAGTCTGATAAGCTGTTGCATCAAACAGTGGCGCACCACTGTTTGCTGCAACAGCGAATAGGGCAACGCTCCACCCACCACGTGGTTGGGACCTACTCCATCTGGCACCCTGAGGAAGGGCAAATGAGATACCGTTTCTCAAATGAGAGACCCCCTCAAATTGTGAGGAGGGAAGAGAGTGCTCGGTCCCGGCTCTCTCGCAACGCTCGAGAGCCGTGGCGATGGGAAATGGCGCCTGGGTCGGTTTCTCCCTCTTGCGGATAAACGATATAAACGGGATAGATGACAGTGATGAAGATTGTCGAGACTGGGCGGCGCATGGAGCGGGATCCCGGTGAATCTCAGAGCAGGTGAAGCTCCCAACATCTGGGAAGCAGTAAATCAACACTCCTATCAAATGTTCGCGTTGAGTCAGTGCGGTTTTCAGGGAGTCGTTGTCTAAAGAGATACCGGAATGCGGGAGTGATGGCTGACCGTTGTAATACGATGTTTCTGACGGCTGCAAAGGTGTGTACGATACAGTCAAGTAAATCCTGCCTTGCGAGGACTGTGCGAGCGACCCGGCGCGATTCAGGTCGACAATGGAGGGTGCTTCACGCTTCTATTGCGCCTTTTCCCATTTGAGGGTGCCTCAGCCCGTCAGTTTGGATTTGGCTTCGGTCATCACGTGGCAGTCCCCGCATTCGCCATGGTAAATTTTGAGGTATTCCGACCTGGGCAGTGACTCATCTGCCTATATTTGATCCAGAAATGGCCACAGATTACCATTTTGTATGGTGTCCCAAGGCTGGAAGCATAATAGCGCCATTGTGTGGCCAACCTTGGGGGCTTCGCTGCGCTACCGGCCTTGGGGCAGCTAGCGGCTTGCGTCGAAAATTCTCTGTTCAGCGCGGAACTTCAACAAATGGGATGCCCAGATTGGGATGGGTTCGACGCAATGAACTATACTTTGTGAAGTTGCAAGCACCTTATCGGCATTCTTTGTGTGTGTGGCCTTTACACACAGGTCGTGGCGTGTAGCCCCGACCGGCGTGAATTCAACGCCCATGTTTCGATGTCCCCAAATGTCGAATTTTGACAGGCCGCACCCGTGGCCTGCTCATCTTTCGAGTTGCGTAGTTTTCTGAGTGACTCTGTGCGAATTTGTTTGATTTCTTTCTAATTTGCTGTCCACAGCACATATGCGCTATAGGGCTATGCATAGGGCTGTCCGCGCCTGGGTGTCCAAGGCACATGCGGTGATTTTGCCCGGATTTCTGTGCCTGAATTGCCAGCGACGCGCGTGCGAAGCGGCGGGACATTTCGTTTCCCTCGACTCGCTTTGCAACCCATCTGGGGCACTAAACGGACGACGGCTCACTGAATTCAGTGTACTTCATGCATGCGTAGCGTAACGGCGTCCAATTGGACGAATCGACCATCTTCACAAAGGCCGCTACACGGGTGTCGTTTCTTGACTGCCATGTAGATTAAACCAAACCACCAAAGCTCTTAGCGACTTGTTTGCTAATACTTGGTCGCACAGATGACCGATGCCATCAGCAAAATGTGAGGCACATAGTCATAGCTCAACTCTTTTCGAGGTTGAGGAAGTCAAATAACTTTCTTTGATTAGTCTTACCATTGTCTCAGAAAAGTTCAGTTCCTGGACAGCGATCTGAGCCGAATCCGTAGTTATCCGAACCAACACCACTTCCGCGCGTCAAACAACATCGAGTGCAATCTACGACTAAACTTCGGCGAGTGCTCAACTCTCACTGTGCATCCTTGGCAAATGGAGTGTATCAACTGTATCGCCAGCTTGCCTGTCAAAACGGAATAAAGCTCTGCGACGTTATCCAAGATCTAATATTCTACCAGCAGATAGATCGTCATTGCTCGTTGGTTATGCTTGGACCTGTCCTGGATCAAGACAAGTGGTGGCACTGATTGCCCCCCTTTGCTAACATGGGCAAAGGCTGACAACCACGCAGCTCGGCACAGCAGAGTGTGAGCAAGCCACGGCGCTGCAAACGGGAGAATTTCGATCATGCACGGTCATCCTCGTGAGCATTAAAGCAACAAACACGGGCGGGCCGACGCTTCTTGTTGCCCCCTTTTGATATGGAGGTTGGCGCTTCTTAGGAACACTCCCGATGACGATTTTCAGACTGGTAGTGTCCGACGCTGCATGCGTCTCCATGTTGAGCTGCGCCACGGTATGCGGCCGCTGAGCTTCAGGAGAGTATTCAGGGCAGCATTCAGGGAAGCACTCCTTCCATCCATTCATCCCACAACACACAGGGCGGTCTCCACTCAGTCAGCACCAGTGTGTGCCTAATTCCGCACACACAACAGCTTACATGAAATCGGCTAACAAGCATCCACCCCAGAGCGCCTCAGGGCGTGCAGTACTCTGCGCGGCCTCCGGGCCCGTCACCCTGTCCCAACATCCGTCCTCTATGAGGCCCGCCCCGCACTCCCAACCTGTGGATATATATCTATGTGCATCACAGCGCACATCGGCAAAACGGCAAAGGCGACGGCGGCTAGATCAGCAATCGGCCCATGGCCCCCGCTGAAGCCCTGCCTCGATTATGAAGGCCACCAGGCCAGACAAGCCGTCTTTAAAACCCTGGACTCTGCTTGCCTTGCCGGGCTCGATGCCGGCCAAAGCCCTCCGGGTGGTCCCCATGGGCCACGGGCCGGCTCTAAGCGTCACAAGCAAATTGCCGCGGGCGAGCGCAGGCACCCTAGCCTGACCTCCACCCGCCCGCCTGCCGGGCAACCTCGTGGCGCCATATAAAATGAATATAACCCCCCAATCAATGTACAAGCAGGAGCTGGCTCAAGCTCCCCTCAATTGCATCTCAATGCGGCAGCCTCCAGTCGGGCCGGAGGCGGCGTGGCGCCAACATGGAGCGGCCGGACTCCTGGACTGCGTGCGCCACGCGTGATCGGCCAACAAATCTTTCAAAACTTGGGCATGTGTGCACCAAATGTGTGTTCAATGAATGTTAGTTTCCACTCCTCTGAGCCAAGGCAATCCTTCTGAGCAAATCCTTCCAAAACTATCTGGCTCAAGCAAGACCTCAAAATTGGAAGCCCCTGCCGCCTGGGGCCGCCCGCCCGCGCCCCAGGGGCCGGCGGGCAGGGATGCCCTTGGCGGCAGCGGGCCGATACCCATCCCCCGTCGAACAATAACAAATGTATTCTCAAAGAAAAGATAAGATATTCGTGTTCTCCCCTTGGTCAGGGTGCCTAAAGGGTTCCCTAAAGGCTCCACAGGTCCCTAGTCACCCAGTCGTTCCTACGAAGGGGCGGAGAGCGCGCACCTCGTTATGGCCCGTTGTGGGCAAGGGTGTTTTTCCCTACCTAACCATCAACAGACGTCAGACAACTCCCCATTATTTCCGGGGCATGGGCCCCTTCCTAGCGGACCTCGAGTTGGACTCCATTTTCTACACGCAGGGCGCTCCTTCTTCCTCCTCCGCACCCGCGCCGCCCTTCGCCCCGCGCTGCGGGGCCAGCGGGTCGCGCAGGAACACCACCAGGAAGCCACCCGCGAACAGCACCATCGCCATCGTCACCACCGCCTCCCTGTACGACCCCGACTTCTCCACGATCACGCCCGTCACCATGGGGCCAATGATCCCGCCCAGGTTGGCCACCGCGTTGTACAGCCCCAGGCCGAACGCCTTGGATCCCTGCGGCAGGGATGCCGACGCCATCGTCGTGAGCACCGACCCGCCGCTGACGGCTCCCACGGCGCCCGCCGTGAGCGCCGCCAGGCCGAGAGCCACGCTGACGTCCGCCAATACGGGCATGCCCGCAAAAATGGCCGCTCCCGCCATGAACGGCAGCGCGACATGGAGCCTGCGCTCGTTCGTGGCCTGCGAGTGCCAGGCGTTGGCAAGGGTGGCCAGTGCCGCGGCGCCGTAAGGCAGGGTGGCCAGGAGCACTGCGGTGTCGTCGCGGGCCACGGCATGTTCGCAGGAGGAGGCGCCGTGTAGGCAGGGCGGGCGCAGGCCGTCCCCGGAGCGCATCGCCGTGATGAGCAGCACGGACCAGAAAAGCATGACGTACCTGGGGCATGCGGGACGCCATCAGGGCCGCGGGCGACAGGCGCGTTCACCAGCGGGAGGGAAACAACAACGGACATCGAAACAGACGCAAGGCGCCGAGAGCGAGTGTTTTGGTCTATTCATGGCGCAGCGGATCGGTCGATTGCTGTTAAGGCGGGGAAGGGGGTGATCAGCAAAGGGGCAAAGGGAGGTGATCGGCGGAGGGGCGATTGGCGCGCTGGGGGAACGCGAGATGGGCGATCGACGCGCCGCGTGTGGACGCGGCCGAGTTCCGGCCCGTCCGAGGCCGGCCCGATTGGCGCCGCACGGGGCACCCACATTGCCATCAGCCGCAACAGGTAGATCAGCGCGCAGCCCCACAGCCTTGGGTTCATCAGCGCGTCGTAGAGCTGGTCGAACACCGGCTTGGCGCCTCTGCAGCTTCCGGACCCCGAGCACCCCTGTCCCGCGCGCATCTCCTCCTCCAGCGCCTCCACGTCCTCGGAGGACAGGAACCTGGCCTCCGCGGGCCCGCGCGGCATCCCGAACCAGAAGCACGCCGCCACGGCGATCGTGGGGGCAGCCTCGCTCACAAACAGCCACTGCCAGCCGTGCATGCCCAAGAATCCGTCCAGCCTGAGCAGCCCCGCCGCGGCCAGAGGGGACAGCACCTGGGACATCACCAAGGTAACGTCCACGGCGGCGATCGAGAACGTGATGCGGCTCTGAGGGATGAACAGGCCCAGGTAATACCACACGCCGGGAAAGGTGCCCGACTCCGCAAGACCCAGCACGAATCGCACGAAGTAGAATTGCCCCGGGGTCTTCACGAAGGCGGTTGCCGCCGCAGAGCAGCCCCACACGAACAGCGAGGCGCCCATCCACGTGGGCGTGCCCAGCTGCTGCATCAGCATGGTGGAGGGGATCTGGAAGGCCACGTAGCCCAGGAAGAACACCGACACGCCTGTGCCGTAGACCTCCTCGCCCCAGCCAAGGTCAGCCAGCAGCTGGCTGGCAGACAAGCCCACGTACGCCCTGTCCACGTAGCACAGGAACACCACCAGGCAGCAGAGGGCCACCACGTTGGCGGAGACCTTGGCCAGGGCGGGCCCAATCCGCTCCGGATGCTTGCACCTGTCGAGCAGCGGCACACAAGGGCGGGGCTCCCGCTTGCCGACGTCCCAGGAGGCGTGAGCAGCCGGGATCAGCGCCCCAGATTTGCCATCAGGAGGTAGGAGCGGCTCGGCTACTGCCGCGCGCCCTCCGCTCGTCGACGCTCGCGCCATGCGTGCAAACCGGCCGGTCTGCTGCTCCCTGGACTGCTGGCGCTCCGGGCGGGCCAGGCGCGGAGGGCGCAGGCGGAACGGATGATTTATGCGCTCTGGGGGGCGTCAGCCGGGGCGGGACCGCCCGGGTGGCCTGTCATGGGGAGCGGCGGTGGGCCCCAAGGTTTGTCCTGGGCTGCAGTAGTAGAGGGGCCATGCACTGCGCCTATTTGCAAAGGATGGGGCCAAGGTATTGCGCGGGTTTGACTGGTCCACCATTGCCACATGGCTGTATGACTACACAGGGACGCCTGTCCGCGAGCACGATCCCTTCGTAACTTGTTCCGTCAGCTGTGTCTCCAAGGCCGTGGCCATGCCTGCCACTGATGTTGTTCCGCCCTGAACCTGGTGTATCAGTGGTGTTTGGGTGTTGGCGGCGGCATGATAGTTCTTCCACAGCCGGCATGATCTTTTTTTTGGGGAGGGGGGGGGGAGGGGCGGGGCGACTCTGGTGTTGGCCCCCGTGGCTGGGACCCTCACCCACTTTGAAGCCTGGCCATTTTTGCGCAGCTCCACGTTTTGGGCTGTTCATCCACTTCGGCCGCTACAAGGAGTGGGGCATCCCGACTTTTGCTGTTGAAACCTGTGGGGAAAGGAGCCAGGTTTTATTCACCCAGCTTGTGGGAGCAATTCCTGCCGCTGCTGGACGGGATCCTCTTCCCGTCCCGACACGCGCGCTGGCGAAGTGTGTTGAAAAAATTCTCATCAATGTTGAAACTCTCAGTGCCCAAGTTCAATTTGCTCTTAGCTTCGCGATACCAACAAAACACTAAGTCCCCTGTACTCAATCTCTGCAAGGTGGGTGGGGTTGGGTGCAAAGCAAGGGTTTTGGCGGTCTTGGGGCAACATTCAAGTAGGGAGGCCGACCGTCGACCAAGAAAGCCGCCAAGGTGCCCCCTTCAAACGTAAGCCTTGGCTCTCTTTGCAAATTGTTCCAAGATTCCATCAATCCCTTGGCACGTTCAAACCCATCTTGTAGGCGAGCGGTTCCCAGCTACCAAGAAACGAGGTGACCAGAAATGTATCTTGGCTGGGGGTACAACCTATAATGCTTGGCGTATCCAAAGCACCCACGCACGTCTCCCAAATCAGAAATTCATAGACTCAGCGTTAAACCACAGGACTCTGTCAGACCAAGCACCTCGGTTTGCCTTAGTGCACCTCGAGGAGGCCCATTAACTCGTTGAACACATTACCTTGATTGTAAACCGCAAGTCCAACATACAACTTGTCGGTCTCTGCGCTCTTTGTGTGGCCTTGCGGTTCTACCATTGTTTTGTCTGTCTCTCCTGCCGTCTTTTGACCTAGAGCTCGGCTCTTGTTCTGCCGAAACCGTTGTCTTCACTCCTGAAAGCGTTCCGCGCCTGCGTAGCCATCCTTGGACCCATGAAGGCGCGTCTACAATTGCAGTGTTGTGCACACATGCAGCAGTGGCGGCAGGCATCCATCTCCCTACAATCCTTGGAGACCCTCCCAGTTAAGCGGCCGCCGAGGCATCAGGAGCACACCCCCTTGTTATTGCGTTCAGTTCAGGAGCTTCACCAACACTAACCCTCCCGACCCTCACGGGCTTGGGTGTGGTGCATCACCCTCTCGGGGTAGGGCGTACACTCACGTGGCACCCCAATGACACTCACATGGACCCCGCCGTGACGATGGCACGCACAAGCACGGATCGCGTACGGTTTCCCCCGCCGCTGTACGTGCAGCCGGCCGCCGGGTACAACCCGCGGATAAGGCGCCGCGCCGCAAACTATTGCGTGCGGGCTACACACAGCGCGAAGTTCACGCTGAGGGGGTTTATGCAAGGGCCTCCCCGACCGTACATGCGGCCCACGGCCCCTGACTCAGCCGACCTTCCGCCTAGCTCCCATCGAAACTTCCTGTACCACCAAGCCATAAATGCCTGTTGTGGGCAACGTTTGTTCCCTGAACGGAGCGCGCTCAGCGATTTTCGGGCGACGTTGACCGAGTGCCTCAGGCGATTGTTTCCAAGAGCTCGCTGCGGACAGGAGCCTCCGAGGTTGCCCGCGGCGCGCGCACCCTTGCCCAGCCGCCGCACAACAAACCGGGACACCGGGCAGACCGCACAGGCCGGCCGTCGGCGGGCGGATCACACACGAGGCGGTTGGCTCCCTGTGGGTCGCGAGGGGGCCTCTTTTGAGTGACAACACACGGGCGCGGGGGCGAGATGGTGGACCAGAGGAGGCGGAGGGGGAAGGATGCGGAGCGCAAGCAGCAGGAGTTCCTGCGACAGGTGGGGTGGGGGGGCGAGCAGGCGGGGCGTGGCTGGGTGGGAGGCGGGGGGGATGGATAACGGGAGGGGGGCGGGGAGGGGCGTTGATTCAGCCGGCGGCCGCCCCAAGGCGGGACCGCGGAAGGGGCATGCGGGGGAATTCCGGAGAAGAGGGCCGTCAGGATGATGCTTCCGGCGGCCGGTCGCCGACGGCTTCCTCCTCGGCGCCCCAGCGCGTGTCCCGCGCACCCGCGCCAGTGCGCGCGGTGTGTGGGGGGGGGGGCGACAGTGGGGGCGCCATTGCCCTGCTGGAGTCTCCCCCGGCCCTTTCAGAATATTCCACTCTCGGCAGAGGGGGATGAACGGGGGGGAGAGGGGGAATGCTCTTCACACCCGCACGGGCCGCCTCGGTGGTCGGCGTGGCGATGCCAGATGTCCCTGACCTTCCGCCGCGTTCGCGCCCCCCCGCCAGGTGTCCTCCCAGATGCTCCAGGGCGGCGGCCTGAAGGCCTGGGGCAGCTTCGGCGGCCCAGGGGGCCCGGGCCCGCGCGGCTCCGTCGACAGCCTGCCGGCCTGCGACGACGACCTGGTTTACGCGCCGGGGATGATGGGCCTGGACCCCGGCAAGGACGCCCTGCTCTTAGGCCAGTCCGGCGACGCCTGGGGCGGCGACCTGGACGCAGATCATGACCAGGAGTTGATCTTCGGCCTGCCGTCCCCAAGCGGCTTCCCGCCATTCGCCGAGCCGGCGCCCGGGGCGTGCCTGGGGTGCTACACAGTCCCGGAGGTCTGCGGGGGGCTGTCGCCCTTCGACGGGGTGTACGGGATGCCGATGGAGGAGTGCAAGCCGGATGTCGGGGCCGCCGAGGGGGACGGCATGTCCGTGGACGTGAAGGTGGAGGGCATGGAGCTGGACGGCGCGCTGTCGCCCTCGGGCTGCCTCCCGTACGAGATCCTCACGCGCGAGCAGCGCGCGGAGGTGCGGGAGGCCAGGAGGGGGCCCGTCCCGGGAGTGGACGTCGCGGCGATGGTGAGCCTGCGGATGCAGAGCCTCGGCGCGCGGATGTTCCCCCCTTGAGTGTTGCCCCTGCCGGGCCTGTTGGCCAAAAGTCGGCCGGGCGGCGCGCGGCGGTTATCCTTATCGGCGTCTCCCTTTTCATTGCATCGTTACCCTTCGCTCCTCGCTCTTCCGCCCCCCGTTCGACCTTCGGTGGCCGATTCGCCGGCGCATCGCGAAGGGCTTTCTGCGCCGAGGACGCCTCGCGCTCGCGCCGCCTCCAACGCGTGTGGATCCTGAAACCTCTCTGCGCGTTGCTCCGTGGTGTGGCAGGCGCAGGCGCAGCGGGTGGCGGGCCGATCCAAGGGCGTCACCATGTGCCTCAGGACGCTCCTCCGCCAGCTCCTCGCAGGTAAAGGACGCCGAGCCCAGCGGCTGCTGCCGAATCGCGCGGACGACACTCCGCGGGTTCGCCGGCCCGTGAGGGGCCGCAGTTGACTGTCGCGAACGCGCGCCTTGGTTTTTCGCCCGTGGATGAGGTTTGGTTGTTCTCGGTGTTGCCTCTCCTCCGGCGCTTGGCTCCCCGCTGCCGACGTCTGGCCTGGCGAGAATCGCAGCGGTGGCGCACGCCGGTGGCCAGTGTCACCTCTGGGCATGGCGTGCGCCTGGGCTGGTTCTCGCACGGACTGGTGGCGGTGTCGAGGGGAGAAGGCTTGGATTTCTTGCATCCCGCCGCCTGGAAATCGCGCTCTTTGCCGAAGCTATTGAGTGCAGCATGCCAATCTCTGCTCGCGTTGGGTACAGAGCGAGGAGGTCGACTGGGCTGTGTGTGCAATCGGCTGCCTCGAAACCACCTCCCTTTGCCGAGGCGATGCGAGTGCCGGGAGCCGCGGCCCCGCGCTGACTTGACGTTCGCCCCTCGCACAGGCACGGGTTGGATCATGGACAGCAGCATCAGCAAGGACCACGCGACGCACCTGATCAGACAGCTGGTGGGGCCGGAGCTGGACGTCCTGCTGGAGGTGCAGCTGACCCCTCGCAGGGCGGAGGCGATGGCCTCCGAGGACAAGGAGCTCCACTACTCCAAGATCCTGGGGGAGCTGGTGACCCGGTACGTGGGGCAGCAGGTCACCCTCAAGCAAGCGCAAGACCTAATAAAGCGAGACAAGGGGCCCTACCACCTTACCCAGGACTTCATCGACATGCTGCGCGGCAAGGAGTGGCCGCCATGCATGCTGCCCGAGAAGGAGCTGCGCAGGTTCGGTTGCTATCGGCAGGGGGAGGCCAGCAAGCGCACTCGGCACGACTGATTCCCAGGGGCGCTCGCCTGGGCCTGAAAGGGTTTGATGATATCTGCGAGCAACAGTGAAGTGAAGCTGTGCCCGGACGTGAGCACCTGTGGATCGGATGTGAGGATGGGTGTCGAATGGACAGCGGGGGTGCTGGAGCAGCTGTGTGGCGGGTGTGGGCAGGGACTGATTAGGCGGGTAGGTTGGGGTTGGCCCAGGAGTCGCGGGCAGTCTGTTAAGTTGGTGGGGGTTTGGCCGTGCTGGCAGCAATGGTAATAAGGCTTGGGAGACTTGGCAGGCCAAGCATTGGCCGCCCTGTGGGTGGGTGGGGGAGTGTGTGAGATTGTATCTAAAAGGGGTGTGCATTGCGATGTGTTGTTGGCAAGGAGGGCTGTAGGCACACCCTTCTGTGTTGTGCCTGGGTTCTGGGGTTTTCCTGGGGATGTGGTTCCGAGGTGAGCAAGCAGGGAGGACAGGATAAGACGAATTTGTCAGACGCGCAATGGAACCAATTGCGGGAACGGCACGCGCTGCAATGGCGCCGCGCCCGCGCATTTCTTTCTTTTAGATTGGGATCGAGCCGGGTGCCAAGATTTCCATGAGCAGCGGGGTTTCACGAACGATGTATTATTGTCTCTATGCGTGTCTGTTTTTTCCTATTCGTGGTGCATTCATTGCCTGCTCATGCAGAGGCTGGGGTACTCAAATTTTGTTTGAGATTTATTTCATGGCATATCGTTGGGCGTGGGGGTAGAACGGATGAAACATTGATCTTCAGCATGGAACGGGTGTTTGGCGTGGTGCGCACGCGGGTGCATGGGCGGTGCCCTGTGCCCCATGTGTGCTCCTTCGTCCTCTCCGAAACTGCTGGGGGCTGGAGTGGCAGCATAAAGGTGATGGGACATGGTGCCGATGTGGGGTATGGCGTCGATCCCATCGTGGCGACTGCTGAGGTGGTGACTGGGCTGGGGTGCCACGCCCAAGCGTCGCAGGGGTTTTTGCAGGGAGGGGGGCCAAGACGCGCCGGGCTTGCTTCCGCTGGCTCGTGAATAACTGTAGCGGCTACAGGCTCGTATAAATCAGGTCGTGTGCGCATGGTCTGCGCTATGGCGCGCGGGGTGGTGTGGGCGGGTTGGCATGAACAATTGGACCGTGTCCCATTGGACCTGTGCTGGGCGCCCTCCCGAGGCGTTTCGGTGGCCGGAGGGTGTGTCTGGCGCGCTGGGTGCCGCCAGGCGCCGCCTTCTCAGTGGGCGACGGTTCGTGGAGTGTTATCATTCATTGGTGGCGGGATGTCTTGTGTGTTTTTGTCGGCCCTTGGGGCTGAGTGTCCACGAATGGAGCGCCAAGGCGCGGGCGCGGAGGCACGCGCGCCGACGCTCTTGGACGGTGCTTCGGTTGCGCGTGGCGCCTTTTAATGGTGCAGGATACCGCGCAGATGGTACGCACACAGTTGCGGCTCTGTACCTATGTCATCAACACACACGATGGCGAATCTGCACGGTGGTCTGCTCATCGTGCCACCATTCGTTTGCCAACTGGGCGAATAGACACTCAGCCCCACTGTTGGCAGGGCGTTCGAATCCAAACACCGACGTGCAAATCCTCGATTGCATCAACTCGATCGGGTCAATCCAGCCCTGAGGCGATCCCAAAATTTGGCTGTGGGGTTTTCTCACGGCCAGCCCTTGGGTGTGTGAATCCAAGCGCAAACAACTTTGGGGTTTGTTAGTCACCGACGTTCGGGGGCTGTTCTCACAGAAACCTCCAAACCTTGGTTTGTTTGAAGACGACCTCCCACAGTTATGCGTTGGCAACGGTGGCCCTGCGCGACACCGGCCAAAGCATTCGCCACAGGGGGCCAGTCTCCAGAGGTCCGCATTGCTAACCAAGTACCGCTCATCAGCAAGTCGTTACATAAAAGAAACGCAGGATTTCGGAAGCCACCGGCTCCCTGTGAACTCCTTGAAGAACTCAGCCGTAAAGAAGCCAGAGGGTCGCCACGACAAAGCCCGGCAGGTGGTGCAGTCCACGCATCCATCGTGCGGTGAACAATCGCGTGAGGACATCTCGTTGTGAACTGCCCGTTGTCGCGCAACCCCGTCAGCGATAACGCGCCGTAGCCGCCATCAGATCGTCGTAGCAGCGTACTGCCCAACGTTGCGTTGCTCATGGGTTGACTCACCCCACGCCACGCGCAGTGCGGCTCGCGCCCGTCCAGCTGCCTGACCCCGTGTGTCCAATTGCCTGACGCCTGTTAATGCTCGATAAGTCGATGGGTTCCCCGCAACGTGCAAACGGGAGTGGGGAGGTCACGCCAAATCTCCCATGCTCTCGCCCGTTGTGGCAAGAGCAGGTCTTTCTTACAAGACAGAACTCTTATAGTACATGCCAGAATCCAGAACCTTAATCATTGGTTCGAGAACCGCCAGCATAGGTGGCAGCCCCCCATGTTGATAATGCTCCCCCTTGTCCCTTCACGACTCCCCAATCCCACTGATTACTTCAACCGTAACACGCCCCTCGGACAGGAGCACAATGTACCGTATACCCTTGGCACAGGAGTACAGGGCACCGCGCGGAAACATAAATGGGGAGCACGCTGAATGCGCCATCGAATGGACCCAAATGAACGGGCGCTCCCAAACGGTTTCCCGCCCCACGCTTCGTAAACTTTGGGGCAGCGCCGGGCGCGTTTGAAGCGCAACTGGATCGCTAGCCGGCGGGGCGCAATGCTGCTTCACGAGCCAGGGCCGACCGCCCTTGTGGGGCTGCCCGCGGCGCCGTTTCAGGCGCGACCGCTGGATGCCAAATGCCCGCCCACCACGTCTCGGCGATGCGAGGCCCAGTGGAAGGCGCGGCGGTGTGTGTATGCCGACACAGCGTCCAGCACTTGCATCCCTTTTGTCGCTTCTGTTCACTTTCCAGGGTGCTCCGTTGCCTTGTCTGCTGTGCGTTGATGGTGCTGGGGAGTCGAGCCATGGGAGCCGATGGGCTTTCTGCGGAGTTTCCTGCTGATCGATGGTGGTCGCTCAATTGGGTGTGCAATGTCGATCGACTGGCCACGAATGCCACCGGTAGCAGCTGGCAAGATTCAAAAGCAAACACAAGAAACGAAAGAGATGCACTGTCAGAGTAACTGAATGGTGAACAGACATGGCATTCACAACAGATTTGCGACGTTTGGGTAGGGGGACAACCATTGATCACATTGATGCGCTGGGGCTGTTTTGATGTTGTTTGTGTTGGTTAGTACAAACCCCGTCCCACGGTGTCTTGAACAACTGTGTCCATTTTGTCTTGCCATGTTGTGCATGGAGGGGAATGCCTCTGTTGCCATTGACGAAGCCTAGCCAAAATGGTTCCATGAGCTGAATCCTGCAGCACTTAAGCTCTATGTTCCTATGTGCACATTCAGCCCTTACCATTTCAGGGATATATGGATGCAGCTTTGCGTTCCTTCTTCAGCTTCGATCTACTGTCTTCAGCAGCTGTATCCTGAGCTACAGTCATGCCTCAAAATGAAATTCTGCTGCATTGGCAGTATGTTAATTCTCAATTTTCCTTGCCCTGGGAACATTGTACAGCTTCTTCAATGCATACAGTTGTTCTGGCCAACTCACAAAGTGTTGGTGGCATCCAAACCTCTTTTACTGTACAATTGCTGATGGCCTCATTTACCCAAAGTAAAGGAATAAGTAGGATTGCCTTCAGAATTGTGTATGCACTGCTGTTGTAGAATTTCGCCATTTCAAGTCATGCGGATTCCATGGATCCTGCACAAACTTATGTACCCCTTGTACAGGGCACTGCATCACTCCGCCCATTTGGAAACATACCATGTCTGTTGTTTCACCTCTTTTGTGCTGCAAATGTGAGTATCACGTTATCTCCTTTGAATTCAGAGCAGAGGTTAACTGCAATGTGGGCACGAACCTTGTGTTGGTGCTATCTGCCCATCAACGGGAAATTGCTGCAAGATCTGTGTTCTGTCATGGGCGACCAAAGCCCTTAGTAAATTCCTCAATTCCGTCTTGTGGTAGGTCAGCATCTTCCCCACAGCTGCGGTGCAGCGAATACCACTGCCTGCCTGCCCAACTTGAGACAGCCCAAACTCTGCGACATGAGAAATTGGTCCCCACTCCATCAGCTGTGGGGCAGGGCGACCCTTACCCTGGAGGGCTTGCCAAACATCAGGATGGGGAGACAATGGCCAGGGAGTCCTTGAGACTGCTGGAGTGGCCCAACCTCTGCCGTCAGGTATGTCTGACATAGTATGTTTGTGCCGCAAAGCTTGGTTGTGGATGTGAACAACCTGCAGTGCTGGTGACGACTGGATGCTGTGTTGTCAGGTGGCGGCCTTTGCAGAGACCTCGCTTGGGGCAGAGTTGCTGCTTGAGAGAGGGGCGCCAATGGGGATGACGCTGGATGAGAGTGAGGCCTTGCTGCAAGAGACTGAGGAAGCTACAGAAGCTGGCCTGAGGTGAGGTGGCCACAAATCCCAGGGCCTCCAGTGCAGTCAAATTCCAATAAAAATGTGGCTCTGCACTGCATATCTTGCTGAATGCATATTTTGACAGCACACTGGAATGCTATTTGCCATTTCAGAAGAACACGTACCCTTGTTATGGGCAACAGTGATACAAAAGATGCTGGCAGGATATGAATCCCAAAGATGTATGCACTGTATACTTGGCACAAGTCAAGGTTTGGCAGTACTGCCTTCCATACCCAAAGTACACGCTCAGCCTTGTCCATACTCCTCACATCCTGCAACACTTGTCAGGTGTGAATGTTTCTGCGTCATCCTGAAAGCGTGCTGGAATAACAGCAAACACCTGCAGTATGATGTTTGTGCAGCTGCCCCTGAAGAGATGTATGCTTTCTTCGGTTTCTTCAGAACCATACAATCAAGTGCAAACAGCACAGGGGGTCCTTAACATTTGTGCTTGATTATTTCTTATAGTCAGGCAATCGGCCACAAACAAAACACAGCCATGTGCCAGAACCCAGCTCTATCCACTGCTTTGGCTTGTTCATTTATTCTGTGTATTTATTTGTGTATTTGTTCTGTTTATTTATCTATGTATATTTATTAATCTGTGTATTTATTCTATGTATTTGTGCTGGGTTTTTTCATTGCCATTGTTTTGTTTAAAGCGTTGTACCTTTTCAAGATTTCAGGCGTTGTCCCTTTCCTAACAGAAGAGAGATGGGCCTTGTACCATATCATAAGAAAATACAAGGCAACGCAAAGCCTGACAGATTGTTCGATAACATGAATGCTCAATCTCCATTGAGGGATGACGAGCCCCACGTGTCCCAAGGTAGTTGTTCATTTTTAGCAGCGCGCAACAACATTTAGATGTTGCCACCATCTGCTCATGCTGATCAATAATCTGATGGTCAAGTATCAGTGACAGAAATATGTAGGCCATCAACTCCATTTCATGTTGGTGCCTGTGTTCCAGATTTGATGGCATCTATGATATTCGGCCAGCTCTCAAAGTGGCTGCCATGGGCGATCGTTGTCTAACAGAGCTGCAGCTGGCTGGAGTGGCCTCCACGCTGGAGGGTGCTGAACGGCTTTGTCACACTGTTGCTGGTGGTGGATTGTCTGTCTCCAGGTTTCCAGCCTTGGGAAGGCTGGCTGCTGGATGTGGCCCAGAGGAGAAGGGGCTTGTTACAGAAATCCGGCGCTGCATTGAGGTGAGGCTCTGCAGGCAGATGGGCAGTGTGAATTCTTCCTGTCTAAAACCTGAATCATTGTGAAGAGATCATGCTCGAGCTCCATGTCAATGTAGGAGATGAGGACTATCACCATGTTGTGGAGCACTGGAAGGTGGAGTAATGCCCCAAGAAAATGGTGCATTTCTGCTGTGGACAGGATTTGGTGGAGCTGCAAGAATGGAGAGAGCTGCATCGCTGCCCCAGCTTGCGCGTAGAATAGCAAACGTATCTCCTGAATCGTTTCTTCAGCATTGTCCACAAGGAGCTGACCGAAAGCTTGTTGATTGATGTGGGGCTCGTGCTGTTCAAACGTTTCATGTTGCAACACCCTGGTGACACACTTGGTAGTGGTTGGCAGCAAAACACGTCCACAAGTACTGTTCCCTTCCAGGTGTGTATTCTGTACTCCATGGAAAGCAAAGCTAGAAAACTAACACCCATTTCCTGCCATACAGAAGTGGGATATACTCAAGAAGCCGTCATGTTCCTCATGAAATTGCAACATTGTTGTTTTGAGTATTCATTGTACAAATGGCAAGACACTGGTCGCACATCCTCACGATAGTACAGATTTGTGGACAGTGGGCAGAGTCCACTGTTGCTTCAGTTGTATTCGTGGGCATCCACAGGAAACAGTTTACAAACATAATGCTTCCGATTGCGATGTGGACCTGCACTTGTAAGGGACAGGTGCATGGGCTGGAGACAACATCTGGTTGGTGTCATTGGGACCTTGAACTCATAGGCCCATATTGGGCAAAATGCTCTTGATCAACGTTAGAGTATCTTTCCCAACTCTAGTGAAAAAAGTGCCTATGAATGTACAAGCTAGGAGGATTGATTATCAAGTATGTAATATGAAATAATGAAACAGTTGTCAGTAGCCATTGTCAAAACCATGGCAAGGCACTGCACTAGTTCTAGCAGGCAATGTTGTGCATGGCAGCTGTTCAGGTTTTAGCTGGCAAGCACATGAAAACTGCCTTGTGGTTGTTGCTGCAGTGGGACCTTGTGATGTTTGTAGTTAAATTGTGACACATCATTATAATGTGGTTGTGTTCCTGCAGTCATGATCTGTTTGTTGTGAATCATGAATGACATAAGTAATCTCTTTGATGGAAACTCTTTTACTTCCTGGGAGTGACTGGGAGTGCCGTTGTCCTGCTAGTAGCCAGCATTTGGGCACATTGCTGACAACGCCACTCCTCACCTGGCTGACATCCGTGAGCGGACCCGTGCAAATGGGGTCGAACTGCAGAAGTCAGCTAAGGCATGGGCCACACAGCTGCATCAGCAGGGAGTAAGCGAGCGGCCCATCGTCGTGGTTCGTCGAGGCCGTGAATGTGTGGCCATCAAGGCAGGAAGCCAGAGCCAGCTGCCCAGGTGCTGAATTGAACAGATGTTACAGGGTTAGTGATCCTTAGCAAGGAACCCAGGTGTTCCGTGTGCAACATTGCAATATCAAGTCACACATTGCGTGTTTGTCAGATCAATTCATTGAACAGAGCAATACAGCATGAAGGAATGTCTGGTCCCTCTCTTTTTATCAGCTCGTGGCAACCTCCTGATTCGGATGCTGAGGATCCTCACACCCCATTGACTGTGCTTCTTATTAGGTGGCAGGTCGCTCCTCGTTAGCTTATTTTCAGTTGCATTGTCAGTTACTTTCATGTTGCTGTTTCTCATTTGATCACTTTGCTCTTAAAGCCCAAAAGAACAATATAAGAAAAAGCATAAGAGCAAATACATTATGAATCGTAATTTACGAGTAATATGTCATTGCAAATAGATGAGCATCAACGCACACAAGCGACGATCGCTTTAGTTATGGGGCAGTGGTACCAGAAACAAATGGTAGCTGCCAACGAGCTGTTTTGCTCCCATCCCCCTGTCTGCAAGCAAGTGTGCCAGCCAGGACATATCAAGCAAGTCACAGCGCCAGTGCCTGCAGCATGTGGAGCGCAGTTCACTTGCACCTTGGAACAGTGTTTGTTACTGCAGCACCACCCCGGAGAAATGGCTGGGATGTGGTTGGGCTTTGGCAGGGGCAGTGTTCAACTGGCTTCCAGCAAGAGCGGCTCAACGCTGTACATGGAGCCAGCACCGATTGTGGAGCTCAACAATCGCAAGGCGATTCTCAGCAGCGAGGAAGCCCAAGAGGAGCGGAGTATCCTCATGCAGCTGACGAGAATGGTATGGCTGTGATCACCAACGGCAGTCTTTGCATCCTGTGATGGCCAGGGTGGAATTTGGGCTGTGGATGTCCTGGCCATCGGCTTACCAGTACAGTCCTGGGAAAAGGGGCATACTCAGCATATTGCGGTGCCTTTTGATCCGCATACCATCTGGCATGGTGTTCCTGGGCCAGGCACGATGCCTGGAGTGCTCATGCTTGCATTAACAACAACAGTGGCGGGACAGGGGTGGCACCTAGCATCTTCACTGTGATGTCTACATTGCGCCACTGGACATGCACAGTGTTCTTTGTTCTAGTTGGCCTGCCTTACCTTGCACTCCGACTTGAACAAGGCTTGAAATTGAAAGAGGAAATGTGCAGTATCCATAATTGTATGCGGTGTTGCACATCCTGAGCAAACATACTACTGATCAGCAGCCTGGACAGCGCAAACAGCAGGAGAGCTCTCTGGCCCTCTGCCTCCCTGGTGAAATGCCCGGGCTTGACAGCAAGCTTCTCAAAGTTGTTCACGCTGTGTTTTTTGCAGTTGGCAGCATGCGCCAGCAGGGTTGCAGACATCATGGAGTCCGTTGCCTCCCTGGATGTGGTCAATGCCCGAGCAGAGCACAGCAAGTGGCTTGGTGGTGTCCGTCCAAAGTTCTTGTCAACCGAACAGATCCGCGATGGGTATCGAGCCTGCCTTCCCCAGGCCAGGCACCCCATCCTCATGCAACGTGCCTTGCCGCCACTCAGGGAGCCCCCCTCTGTGAGTTTGCACCTTAGGAGGGCGTCCCCTAAGCTCTCAAATGCGATGTAGAATTCTTGTTGTTAGAATACCCAGGTCCTGAGACCAGAGAGAAATGGTTCTTTTCACCTTGTAGGACAGCTGCATGGGTGGCAAGTGGATAAAATGAATGGATGAGGGACATAAAGACGTTCTTAAGCGTATCCTTGCCTTTCATTGCACTACAAGGTGCAAAGGCACCATTTTGTCGCGTCAAAGGCAGCATCAATGGATAACAGCCTTGTGGGACAGTGTAGGTTCCTCACAGGATGCATGGCATTGCCCATGAATGCTTCTGTTGGTGGTTGACAGCTGCACACTGGTTTCAAGTATTCAAGGGAATGAATTGTGCCCATGGCAGTTTGTTGAGCACACACAGAAATTGAACAACAGCCTGGATCGATCCCATAAATCCCATGGCATGCATATTGGTTTGGGGAAGACGCTGGCAGCATTGGCCAACAGGTTGCACCTGTCCTTGGCCTTTTCCTAGTAGTGTATGCTTATCCAGTTCGCAGAAACTGAACAGTGCCTGGAAAGGCACTGTTCAGGTTGCTGGAAGATCTGCTGTGATACTGATAGCGATTGGTCACCATCAAGGATTTCATACACTGATGTGCTAGAGCTAGATTCAGAACTGTCCTTGTGTGCACCAAACATCAGTGGTGTAAAGAAACTGACTGTGCATTCTGGTCTGCCTCGTGTCGCTGCATTGCTTTCTTGAACAGTGCATGCAAACACTTCAGGAAGCTTGTCCTGCACATTTGTTGATCGCAGGCCTCCGATGCGCCATTTGCAAACAATTTCAGGGAGCCCACCAAGCCCTTCCAGGTTGATCCACCTGGGGATAGTGCACAACAGGATTCCCCTGAATGCGATTTGCCAGTCCCCATCGACCTTGTGGTGCCTGTTGGCACTGCCGTCGTGGCGCTCACAGGTGGGGGAGTAGGAGGTTTGAAGCACTGCAATCAGAAGAAATTCTCATGGTATTGATTCGTAATTGCCCTGTCTTGTGTTAATTGTTGTCCACTTGACCAAGAGGTTTTGCAACCAAGATGGCACCTGAATTACAATTGGATGTCAGAGCAGGAAAAATTGGCTCTGACATTGCTGCATAGGTGTCCTTCTCTAAACTGCGAAAATAACTGTTTGGCAGCAACATCGAAACTTCGATACTTTCCGGCCAGAAGACCTTTTTCTACAAACGAAGTGCTGCCAAGCGCACATGCGCTACCTCACAAACTAACTTTAATTCTTTGACTTTGTGCTTTAAATGCATGGACAAAACTTTGGACAAGCTTTTATTAACAATTGAAGCATCTGCATTGGACATATTATGCGCCAAGTTCACTAATGACACTTAATACAGAAGCAGCATATCTGTTCCAACTAATTTTTGAGTTGTACTGTCCACAGAAACACATGTTGAGGAACACACTGATGTGAAAACACATGTTTGGTACCTCTTGGCTTTCCTTGTTTAATCTGCAGAACATCAAAACTTGCAGCTGCATGCACATCTAATCCTTCCTGCAGCCCATTCTCGTGACCATGAATGTGGAGAATTTTTGTCTTGAATTTTTTGTTGCCCAAGCCGTCCTAGTGCCTGTGGCTAGGGCCAAATACCGGAGGCAAGACAGCATCCTTGAAAACACTTGGCCTGCTGACCTTGATGTCCAAGGCAGGAATATTCCTGCCATGTGGGGCAGCATTGGAAGGTGGGCCACAGCCAGAGCTGATGTGGTTCGATCAAGTTCTGGCTGACATAGGCGACGATCAGAACCTGCAGCAGAGCCTGTCGACCTTCAGCGGGCACATCAGAAGAGTTAACAAGGTGTGCATTCAACGTGGAATAAGAAATGCCTTTGTGCTGATTGTGCTTGGAGTTAATGCATCACTTGGTTAGTGAACTATGGATGACTGCACACACGCCATGTGTACATGTACACATCACAGCAAAACGACACATGGGCATGTGTCACTTCCGAGTTCAGACGGCCAGACAGCATCAGTTTCTCTGGCAGTGTACAAGCACCTTGAAGTGCTTGATGAATGGAAGAAGCCAAGCCCCAACATGTGCACATAAACTTCACAGGCCCCCAGACAGCAAGCAAACCAGAGATGCCCGATTTTCCATCCACCAGCCTGCCCATGGCTCAATCAAATACTCACGTTCAGTAAGTGAGTGAATTGCTTATGCATTGACGTTGCATCAGCGACTGGAGCTCTGATCGGACAGTACATTGGTGCAGCTCTGCCACATCGGGCATAGATTGTAACAATTTGAAGCCCTATGAAGAATAAGCAGTCTTGCAGGCCATTTGGGCCGTCAATCAGGTGACAATTAGTCTTGGTAGTCCTGTGTTGCAACTTGCAAGGCTGATCCTTGATCCTTGTTTGCAAGCCACTGCATTGGCAGAAGTTCTGTGGGTATTGCCGTAATTTCCTAATCAGGTCCCCCGCTCTTTGTGTTCTATGAACTGGGCCGTTGAAGAGCAATCTTGTGCTTCAGTGTCCCACGTTTTTGATCAAGGCACACTTGTATGCCGCTGCAGATTTTGCACACAGCAACTTCAGCATCACTCGTTGTCCTGGACGAGGTTGGAAGCGGCACTGATCCCACGGAGGGATCTGTTCTGGCAGAAGCCATTCTGGACCATCTTGCAGGCCAGGCAGCCCTCACCGTGGCCACCACTCACCACTCCAGTATCAAGGAAATGGCAGACTGCGACGATCGATTTGTGAATGCAAGTGTGGGCTTTGATGGTCGTTCCCTGAGGCCCACCTATGTGCTGGCGTGGGGTGACGCTGGGAAGTCCAACGCGCTGGACATCTCGGCACAATTAGGTTTTGATCCGGTGGTGGTGGAAGCTGCCAGGGAGCTGGTTGCAGAAATGCGTGGCAAAGGTGTGTGTGGGGTGGGTGGGGGTGGGGAGGGGGTGGTTGTGGTGGTGGTGGTGGTGGAAGCTGTGTAGCTGCAAGGAATTCTATGGACAAGGAATTAATGTATGTATCCACAACAGCAACGTGAAATCGACACACTGGTCATGGCATGCACCTCTAATGGGCTCCGATTGTCAGGCAGCACCATTTTCTTGCAATCTGCAAGGACTTCACAGCACCCGGGAGAAAGCACCAACATCCCTGTGGAGGATAGGAAATCTAGAAAATCAAATGAAACAAGAGCAGAGCCCAGGAAGTATTTGTGCAAAATCCTTGACAGTCCAGTGTTGAGGTTGACGACGAGTACTCAGGCGATGAAGGGCAATGTGTTCATCTGAGTGCGCAGACTCGTTGAAGGAACACAAGTGCCATGGTGGAGCAGGCATAGAGCGGTTGTTGAACTGAAAAAGTTGTGCTCATTAAATATCAAATGGAGTGTGTGAGAATTGGACGTGTTTGTTGGTGGCCAGTTTGCCCTTTGCACCTCCATGACAGTTCCCCCCGTATTCTAGGTACAAGTGACACGATTTGCCATCCTTTGATGGATTAATTGGATGCAGTCATCCCAGCTGGAATGCAGATTCGAATCCCTGTCACAGTCTCCATTCACAACCACGGCCAACTGCTTCTTTGCCCAGTCAATGACCTCATTGTCATTCACCATTTCCTGCTGACCATATTAGCAACATTTTAATTAGCCTGAACGAAGCGATGTCACATTCGTTTTCTGTCACTGCCGCACATTATATCCAGGCACTGTTGAGAAGAAGCATTGGTGTTTCTGTTTGTTGGCAGGCACACAGGAGGCTGAAACGCCTCAACTTCATTCCTTCTTGACAGCAAAGCTGGATGCTGCTGTGAAAGAGGCTGACAAGGATGCGCTGGCTCTCCAGGCAGCTGGGGAGAGGCTGAAAGGGCTGCAAGAAAGCATTCGCCAGCTTCAGGCCGAAGAAAGTGAGCTGCAGGTGTGCGTGGTCGCCCTAGAAATGCATGGGACTAGCAAGTGCATGTGTTGGAGAGGGGTTAAAACTGTACAGATGCAATGCCTTGAGTCAAAACAACGAAGTGAAAAGGCAGACGATCCATGTGCATGAGATGCTGAACTACGCATGGCAGGGACGTAATTTTGCCAGGCAATGCAATGCAACGCGGGAGCACATCTGGCATTCCAAGCTTTGATCCACCCCAAGGACCCCACAGTGCAAGGGATATGCCAAAGTTCATATTATAAACAGTATCTGTTATGCTCGAGTGTGGCACCACTGTTGCCCCTGCATTTTTGATCTTCACATGAAACTCTTTGCTGTGTGGCTGAACTGGATTTCAAACGACAACAGGAGTTCCATGTTACCTGATATTAGTATTTGTATGCAAGACTGCCAAGGAAAGGTTACCAAGCGATGAGTGCTAGCACTAGGTCAAGGATACTAACGTTGTTTGGCCCCCTTGGTCCAGGGAGTGGACAGAGAAACTGTTGAAAATTGCACCCTGGACATGGCAAATGGACTGCGGATAACAGGATTCATAGCCATGATAGCTAAGGGCAACAAAGGCAAAGCATTGCAAGCTTGCCTGCGGAATGTTGCCCCTTTGCCAGAGGCGGCCATTCGACAAATACTTTGGTGGTTGTTGCCCAAGCAGGGCAAGTGGAAACCCTTGTCCAGGCAAGAAACACTCTATACAAATGTAGTGTCACCTACACACCTGTAGGTGCCACAGCAACTTGAACCAAATGCCCTCCTCTGGGCTGGTCTGGCACGGGGCCAACCTTTGCAATCTTGGCCATGAGGCCTCGCGCAAGCGCTTCAGGTCACCTCCTGTCATGGGTCGGATCCCCAGGGGCCTCCTTCTTGGATGCACCCCTCGTGTTGGCAGTTGGGGATGGCCTGTCACAGGCATTAACGAGCGAGAGAGGGGCCTTAACTATACACCCATGTACCTAAATGCTTACTTGCAAAAAGCCTTACATACATGTGCGCTTTTTGTGCAACCCCATGGCAAACCTGAGGGGGTGCCACCGCGGGGCACGTGCCTAGGACCCACAAGGCAGGGAGCGAGGTAGGATTGGCCAAGTTCGATGGCAATCAGCGAGTACAAGGTTATATCATTTCACAAATTGTTGTAATTGTCCAAATGTTTGGTGGGCCCATTTAAACTCCAAGAAAGCCATGGATGTTTCCTCAATAACCGAGTACACTGAGAACATCCTAAAGGAAACCTAAATTGCCAAATATTGCAAATGTTCTAAGGTGTCCCAATCTCCTCAAGGAACCGAGAGAAAAGACAAACTGTCCCACTCCAACTTAATGATCCACATCTCGATTGCTAAAATGTTGTGACCCAAGATTTACTGAGTCCAAGAATTCACAACAACGTGTGCTTACCCGTATGTCATTGACACAACTAATTTGCTGTCTCTCAATCCACAAACCCGTGTTCGTTCTCTTCACGCATGATTACCCACCCAAGAGGGACTCAACACATTCCTCAACCTTTTCTATGCTCGCTGTTTTCCCGTACATTCTGCATGCCATTGGGCCAAGCGCCAGTTACAACAAATGTGTCTCTTATTTGCACATTTGCATACTAACCATTGTTTCTCTGGGTGGATCATGTATGACTCAGCTGGCAGGGGACTCAGTCTGACATGCACATTGAATGCATGGGATTGCCCAAGTATGCCATCACCAGCTAAAAACAGAAAAATGAAAAGGAACAGTGAACAAAAGAAAACTATGTGTAGGCACGCTTGCATTTTGGTAATAGAGCGAGCTTGTCGATTAAACTGGGAAGAACTCATGCCTCACATGGGCTTGGTGATGACTGAGCGAATCCCATGCCTCAAAAGTAACTAAAGCGAAACTGCAACACCAGAATTAACTGCGGCTCTCGATTTCTGGTGAAGTGAGGTATTTGTCCTTGCTATAACTTATGAGTCAACATTGATCTTTCCTTTTTCAGCGATGAATTGAAGATACAACATCTCACACTTTTTACTCAGGAGGTTAGCAAATACGAATTTCAGTTTTTCTGAAATTTGCTGCTTTCTTTTCCATATACAAGTCCAGCCATCTTTTAGTGGCATTTCCTCAACAGAATGAGATCTTCAGTACCTGGAAGCACCAAGGGAGGCGCTGGCTGGACAAAAGATCCAAAACTCCTTATTCAGGACTTTTAGTCACATTGTGCATTTTTCCTCAATTTATGTATAGGCTGTGCACATTCAAGTTCTGTCATTTATTTAGTGACATTTCCGGATCACAACAATACAATCAGTGTCTAGAAACACCAAGAGATGGGTTAGTTGGGCAACTCACCAACTCAGCCTCATGTCAGGGTAAAGAGACATCCCAATGTGCTTGTGGGGGCCCAAACACTTGCCAAAGCAGCCAGGAACAATTTTCTTTAGCTACCACAATAGATATTTCCATAGCTGGAAAGAGGCGTCAACGTATGGAATATAATCTGGACAGAAATGATGATGTGAAACGGCCAGCATGGCAGCTAGCATACATCTTTTCTTTCACGATTCTCCACAACAATATTGCAGTTGTGGCCAAAGCCCCTTTGGGTGTGCATGATTGATGAACCGGGGAGATTACATCCCTTGGTGATTGCTGCTAATACTTCTTCTATCCAGAATTAATTGTTCCCTATGATTTTGGCGCCCTACTTCTCTATCAAGGAACCTTCTGTTTTCAATGAAATTTATTCCAAACTAGCGCCTATGTTGTGGGAGCATACGGTCAAAATTGCAAGTCGATCTTTTGAGTATTGGGGATTTGGTAGGACTTTGTAGTAAGGGTGTTCTGGCCAGAAAACCACTTGTTTTTCAACGAAGTGACCGAAACAGCCGTTTTGCGCAACAGTGAAGAGCACACCTTCGTGGTGGCAAAACAAGGCCGCCTGTGCGCTATCCACGCCACTTGAACAGAAATTCTTAGAGGTCCCTACGAAGAAGCAAAGTGGTAGAAAACGTGTCTTGGAGGGCTCAATCATGGAAGCTTCCACGGCTTTGCAGCCGCAATCCGAGATGGAACAGCGAAGTCGGAGAAGCATTTCCAGCCTAGATTTCTGGGCCATGACCGCTGAGCCTCCATTGTTGTTGTGAGGGATACCACGCAAGGCCTCCTGAGGCCCTTGAAGAGGTGCAAAGGAATGTGTAGGCCATCACCCTAGTCAGTGGTGGAGGAATAGGGGAATAGCTTCCCTGGCAGGATGGCAAATTCGACCTTGCCCTGACAATTGAAAGGGTGGAATGCAAAGGGAAAAGTCATATGAATGAAGTCATGTCTCTCTCACAAGCAAAGACTAGTCATATTGCAAAAGATTGTAGATCACACATACAAGTTGGCCACTAGTGGCAATTTGCCGAGAGTTGCCCCAACCATGCACAAACGCGTCGATGCAAGCATCATTCGAGGCAAAATGTCAAAGTAGAGTTACAATGTAGCTTCAGAGTGATAGTCCGCATAGAGTCCAAGCCTATGCACCTTGGGTGTTGGCTATTTTCGCATGTGGCAAGTTCGCGCATCGGACATAAGGGATTGCTGTGATTTCCATCTTCTTCAACACCGTGACAACAGGCTTCTTCATTGGGGATCCAAACATGGTTTAGTTTGTTGGGCAAGCGTTATACCATGTGAGGGACACTGGCCTCTGCCACGATGGCAACAACTTTGGTTTGGCACGCATGGGAGGGGAGCGATCCAAACCCGCGCGAATCTCCCACAGATGCCAAGTCAGACTGTACATTTTTCAGCCGAATTTAGGCAAATTTGAGAGGGGCCCAAAGGTGGTGTGGTTGGGCATTTTATCACAAATATTTAGCAGTCAAGGATGTTGGGATCCAATCTTGTCGATTTTGCCCTTTCTTGATGCTTTGGGGGCCATTAAAATAAAGAAACCCATCTTTCAAATAGAGGATGATTAATTGAGGAAGTACAAGGTGCAATGGAATGGTGAGAATAATTCATTGTTACTCGTTCATTGGGCAACCACCACAAGGCCGTTTCGGCCCATCTCATGACAATGAAATGCATCTAGTACGGCACCCGTACCAAATGGACAAGACGACACAGGCATGGGGGAATCCACCCTGGACACAGACATCATGTGTGGACCATTGCTTCGGTGTTGCATGTTTTCATTAGCCTTTTTCAAGCCGTGGACCTCTCAACTAGTAGGGAAAGGCGTTGAGGTTGAAAATACCCCCCAACGGGCAGCATCCTTGGTGGCATACTCTTCATCCCATAAGTCAGAGTGCGTGTCAGACATGAGTTCCTTGCTAGCTGAGTCATACATGATCCACCCAGTGAAACGGTGGTCGTTATGCAGCTGTGCGAACACTCTGATGATACAGTGGTAAGTCCTTGAAAGCTTGTATCACAATGCACCATGCTACTAAGCGACCAACACGCAATCACAATGCCTTGAACCACCAATTGGCATCATATACCGTTTTGTAGTAGGTCCGAATCACTGTAGCCATCGCCATTGTTGTGGCGCCATTTTTCACCAGTGTTGCATGCGAGGACCAACCACATATCCAGTCGTTGATCAGCTATGAATTTGCAAACATGCACCAGCAACACCTGTTGTCCATTTGCAGCAGGACATTCAAGGCAATGCAGATGCCCTTCAGGTCGCCATCTCCAAGGAAGTGCAGGATTTGCTGGATGGCGCCCGGAGCGGCAGGATTGCGGTGGAATCAGTCAAGGAGCGACTTAGGGAACTTGAGACAGAGGTGGCTGCGACGAGCGGGAAGGTATCGACAGACAGAGGCGTGCAGAAGGAGAAGGACGGCGGTGCGCCTCAAATACGCAACGCTGCAGCACATTTGGTTGTGTTTGCCAGGATTTGACGTCATGTTTTTGCAGATGCGCTGCTGGCTGGATTCCTTGCATTGGCAATTGTTTTGTCAACATGATGCTGCCCTTTCCGCCCCCAAGGCGCGCATAGCCGAATTTGTGCAAGGTGTTCGGGATGGAGGTCGCACGTCCGCTCGAATTTCAAATATGAGTAAACAGTGTGACGATGACATTTGCCATAATGAAGATATTTCAAGCAACTTCACGCTCTGCGCCGAAGCCCAGACATTCCGCATGGAATGTGGCTTCTTGTAGACGAGAAGCACAGATGCGCCCAGATACCCGAGCTCTCCCGGTACGAGATTAGTGACCCTGTGGACACCCAGATGAGATTGGCGTCAAACGTTTGTCTTGCTAGTGCAATTTTCAACTTGTGAATCTTCAAACTCATTCGGGGAAGGGGAAGTCGTCCCGGATTGCCCTCGATTTTGAGGATTGTATGTTTTGGGATGGCGGCCGGCTCGCTAAGCCTGGCAAGTCTGTTGTTGAACAAGGTTGGATGCCTGTCAAGGGCGACTGCGTGCGAATTTCGAAGATGGGCGGCAAGGCTGGAACAGTGGTGGGCTCGTCGCCAGGTGCGCAGGAGCCAAAATGGCGCCACGTCGAGAGCAACAGAGGGGGCAGCCCACTGTGCTCACTCAGTCACTCCGCCGCTGAGCAATGGACTGAGCATTCGCTTTGACGTGAACAGCCTTCTGGGCTTTGCACCGCAAAGCTTTCACTTTTGCTTTCACTTCCCTGTGCAGCTGCGCAAGGCTCACATATCTTGTGATGTGAATGGGACGACACCTGGCATTCTCAAATGTGTTACTGTGCAAGGCAAACCGTGATATCGTTGAATGATGTTTTCGAATTATGAGGTGACTTTTAGAATAGAGGAAGAACAGCACGACAGACAAACGTACGGGCTGTGTTGAAGCACCACGCTGGTGGCCCGACAAGGCAACTGGCCAAGTAGTGAGTGAGAGCCGAATTCCACGCCTTCCGCCCAAATGGGTGTGAGAAACTCTTGCCCCCATGCGCACGCACCCTCACACATGACCAAGCACCATAACATTGCGCATGCTTGCACTGTTTTCTGCAAAGCATCTGAAAACAGTGGCCATTCCACAAGAGCAGTTCTACAAAACGACGACCGGGCGCAGCGCCGTTTGCGCGGGCCGTTCCACTGGCGCTTGTGGCGGCGTGGATGACGCCACGTGAGCAAAAGCACAGCGGCTGCATGCGTGTCTTGGGGCCCATAGCCTTCCCGGCGTCTCGATAGTGGCCCACATCGCAGTGGACGTGAATCCACTTGGGTTTGTCGCTGCACGTGCTTTTGCCCACGCAACTGCAACCGCACATCGCCTGGCAGGCTGAGGGTCCCAGAAAGCTGTTGGTGGTTCAACGCCGTCGTTCGTCTGCCATGAAACATTCAATCCTTCCGCATAACAACGTAACGCTTGGCCTTGTTTTGCGGAGAAAGGTTCGCACAGTTTTGCGGTGCAACATAAAAAAATGGATAACGCTCTGAAGAGAAAAAAGCGGAGCAATAAGCGCAGTGGTAAAGTTTTTTGATGCGGATGGGCTGAACACACTATGTGTTGTGCAGGCGGATCTGTCCAAGTTGTTGTGGGCAGGCTGACCCTAACCCTGAGGGCCTGGGAACTGGAGCCTGCGGACGACACTCTAGCAGTGCATGATGCCAAGCACTCCCCTCGCATAGCCGGCCGCCGGAGAGTTGGCGATGTTCAGCCGGACAGGAAGCCAGTGCAGCAGGCACCAGAAGGAGAAGGGGAGTCTGGCCCGGGGCCCGGGACCAGGGGCCCGATATTGCTGCAGACTGCAAGAAACACTGTGGACATTCGGGGGGAGGTGAGGCCGCTGCTTTTCTCATGGGCTGACAATAGAAGCAAAGGGTTCGAATCCGGTTGAGGAAGGGGCGTGGGGTTGTGGCATGTGGTGATGTGCGGCCAACACCCACCATAATCAATACTCATCCTTGACCCAGTGGAGCAGATTTTTGCAGGTGCATGGCACGGACAACCAAGTATCGAACCAACACGGAAACCACCCTGATGTTCTGGCGCCGGGTGCTTCAAACGGCCATCCAACATATAGTTCAAAGTATAGCTTATTGGGCTGCGAGACGGTTCATTTAAACCCCATTGTGCAAACTGCTAGGCCACTGACAAGGTTGCTGGTTGTAATGAAGAGGGCTACTGCATCAGCAGGAAGGCCAGCTCTTGCCAATGTTCTTTGCTGACAGAACCGTAACGTGACGGAAATTTGAGACCAGCTTCGTAGCCCTTCTGTGCGTTCTTGACTAAACGCGGCTGTGGCAATGGGCGTTGCATTGACTCACTGTTCCAAACACGCCATGTACGCACAAAAGCACGATTCGTCAAGTGCGTTTCCACGGCGTTGCTTATTCGGTACCAGGCTCACTGTTTGCTTAACTTTGATCAATGATGCCAACGGAGGTATGTGCCCTCTTTGCTTGTGTTGCAGAGAGCTGATGATGGTGTGGCAGTCGTGGATAACGCCCTACGCACAGCGGACGCGGGGGACTGCCTGTACGTCGTGCACGGAGTAGGCTCTGGGAAGCTGAAGGCGGCTGTCCGCGAGTTTCTCAGGCAGCACAAAGAGGTGAGGTGCGGCGACGTTCGCCCATGCCTTTGCCTCGATCTCATCGAGGGACCCAGATTTTGAGATGGTGTTCGTTGTCATGAATCAGTGAAGGGAGATTGTGTGTGCAGAATGGCATATAGCTTGAATGTCACTGACCGGCTGCGAAGGCTAAGGCACAAGCTCCCCACTGGCTGCTTTGAACATGTCAGGCAGGGGTGACTAGTAGTCCACCGCGAGGCGATGTGGGGCATCTGAGATGCAGGAAGGGGGTTCCAACCCAGTTTCACACTGCCCCCTCAGCTGCCAACGCAAACTGCTTTGAGAGGGTTTGTGTGTGCTGTCAGGTCCAGCAGTACGAAGATGACCCCAAGAGCGGGCCAGGCTGTACACTTGTCATAATCAAACCCTGATGCGGTTCTTGTTGCTGGCGCATCGCCTCGGTGGCGTCCCATTCCTGTGCACACCGGCCGTCAGCTCAGTGGCTGTAAGGATGGCAGGCTCCTTTTGCATCCACCTGCTGTTACCCCCAACAGGTTCGTTGCTAACAAGGGCTTGGATTCTCTGAGATTCGTGGATTGCAGCAAATTGCCCCTTGTGGGGCAGTGGTGTAATCAAGTAGCGGTTTAACACAAGAGAGGAACGATGGCACAAGACAGAACAACCTCAGCTGAGATTGCACATGAATTGCACAGTTGTTGGCCAAAGCTGGGCACCGCTTTTAACAGAGTTCGAATTGAATCGGAGAGAATCGATGAACCAACGCGATTGGAATCGAAGCGAATCGGTTCGACTCAATAGAATCAAGCGAATTTCGCTGGCTCGCTCAGCCAATCCATGCCCACAACCTCACCACATGGTGGAGAAAGTTTGGACTGGCTCAATGGAGCATTTTGCACACCAGCAAACAAGAAATTTTAGCAGCCATCATCTCAAACCGCGAAAGAATAAACAATGTGCTGCAGTTTGCAGTCCCAGCCCATAGCAGCCTTACACTATTGCAGACAGCCAGGCCTGGCGTGCCCCCAGCCCAGCTCTAATCCTTCAGATTCTCTGGAGCTCTCCACCCCAACCCCGCACCGACTCCCACCCACAGCCCACACCCTACAGCCTCCTGTGGCCTTTAGGATGCAAATGCAGCAGCTCACCTTTCTGTCACCACTATAAAGGGTTTGCAACCCCGAGCCACAGCCCTCCCACCGGCCTCATGGCGACAGTCTTTTTGGGTCACGAGGAAACATGCTCGTCTTCCTGATGTTGTTCAGGCCGCAGTACAGCATCACCACTCGCTCCAGGCCCACGCCAACCCCCCCATGTGGGGGTGCCCCCAGCTTGAACGAGTCCACATAGGCCTGTATGGTCTCCACGGGCACCTCGCAGGCCCTGGCCCTCTCCACCAGCAAGGCAGCGTCGTGCACCCTCTGGGCGCCAGATATGATCTCCTCCCCCCGCATGAAAACGTCGAAAGAGTTGCTGTAGTTCGGGTCGTCAGCAGCAGGCATGGTGTAGAACGGGCGGACGGCTGCCGGGTAGCGGTGCAGGATGTAGAAGTCGGTGGCATACTCTTCCTTCACCAGGGCACCAAGGGCCTTCTCCGTTTCGGTGGACAGGTCGCCCAGGGGGTCCACGTCGTGGCCAGCAGCCTGCAGCATCTTGATCCCTTCGCTGAAGAGCAGTCGCACAGGCTTGGCCTCAAAGGGCTCGAAGGGGAACTGCGAGGCTACCGCAGCCAGCTCGCGTGAGAATCGTGCCCTGAGGCCCTCGAACATGTTCATGAACAGGTCCTCCACGACGTCCAGTACCTCGGAGTAGTGCTCGTGGATGGCCATCTCGAAGTCCAGGCCTGTGAACTCGCACAGGTGGCGGTGGGTGTTGGAGGTCTCGGCGCGGAACACGGGGCCGATCTCGAACACCCTGCCCAAGTCTGAGCAGATCGCCATCTGCTTGTAGAGCTGAGGGGACTGGGCCAGGCAGGCTGGCTGGCCCATGTACTGGAGCCTGAACACAGCGGCACCGCCCTCTGAGGCGCCACCGATCAGCTTGGGGGTGTGGATCTCGCAGAAACCCTTGGCCAGGAGGATCTCCCTGAAGAGCTGGCACACGGCACTCTGCAGCCTGAAGATCCCCTGGTTGGCGGGCGTGCGCAAGTCGAGGTACCTGTGTGTGTGCACACTTTGATCATATTTGCCAAAGCGAGCAGAGCACATCCTTTGCAACTTGAGTTCCTGACAGGACCAAATCCATGCACAGAATGCGCCAGCTGCGATCCTGCATACTTCTTGCCAAAACAAAGACCCAAAACTACATCATCTAGTGAAAAAAAGCAAGTATGTACCTGTGATTCAGCCGGTTGTCCTGCAGCACTGTTGCAAACTGCTCCCCTGCTTCAGCTGCCTTCCTCACTTCTTCCTCCGATCGCGAGGCATCAGTGACCTGGAAGGGCAACTCCGCAGCCCTGCAGATACAGGTGTGCATTCTGTCAGTGGGCTCAGAACGTCAGCAATTATGTTCTTGGCCATCCAGTGTCTGGTGACTGTTCCTGCTATACCATAATGCATCTGCAGCATCACTCAAGGTATGGAAAGGAGTCTTTCACATGGGTTACGAGAATCTTTCCCTCACAAATCTGGTGCCAAGGGGAGATGCCCACAGCATGAAGTGTCTCCAATCTGTTGAACATGGCAGAAAATGCCATTCAGGCTCACAACATTCACACAACAAGTTTGGGATGGCGCTCCCTTGCTCATCGCTGAGGACAAACAGCAACAGGCGATGCTGGGCCAGAACATCGCTCCTGCACAGGCGCCAGCTCAGGCGGACAAGGGGGATCTGCAGGGATTACAACTTGACGCGCAAATTCGTCCCTTCCGCGAAGATGTGTCCCTGTCAGATTCCATCGCAGAGGCCAAATCACAAAGAGCGGGCCGCTCTCAATAAAGATCATCCCATTGCCCCCAATTCCAAAGGCATCAATGCAAACCCACACAATTCTCACGATTCCCCCGACATCTCCCACGCACAGACGCCCTACCATGCCCCGATCCGACCCCTCATTCCCCCACCTGCTGACGCAGTGCACCCCGTTCACTTGGATCTCCACGTCCGACTGGCTGCACGACACCACCGCCTCCTTGGGCGCCACCACCGTCCCCTCCACGTCCACAAGCGACTCTTTCGGCAGCCGCTGGGCATACTTGACCATCGGCTTGCTGGCGGCCACGCCGTCCGCGAACACCACCGCCTGCACCGTCGCCCATCCCTGGCGCAGCACCAAAAAGCAATTCTTCCCCGTGCCGCGAACGGCATGCACCCTCGCCCTCACGAGCACGCTCTTGCCCACGCTGTCCCCGCCCAGGGACCCCACGTCCGTCCAGACGCGTCCCGTGATAGATCGGCTCTGGATCAGCTCCGAGTCGCCGTAGCGGGAGGCCAGGGGGTCGTCGGGATCGGCCTGGGTGGGAGCTTCGGCCTTTGCGGCTCGGGCGGCCGCCTTCGCCTTCTTGGTGGCGGCGCGCTGGGCGGCCTTGTTGACCGCGGGCGCCTCGCCCTCGGCTGCGGGTGCGTTGGGGACCTCCGCGTCCGCCATGGGCAAGGGTGGGCCGATCTGGGAGCGCCCTGTGGCCTCGGGATAGCAGGCAGGTGTTTTGAGTGAGTGCTGGTGAGTGAGTGCGGTGGGCAAGGGTTTTTCGTTCGCGCGGTGTGAAATGCCGCAGTGCCGGTGCCCCGATGTTGGGCTGAAACTAGCGGGAAGCTGAGTCGGTCTGATTGCCTGTGTGAGGATTAGTTGGGCGGCCAGACAAGGTACAGAGTGCACTCTTGGTTGGGTTGGGGTGTCGTTGGTTTTGTGCGTTTTGGGGAGCGTCTGGCGGGCGATGGCGGAAGGGATGGACGTGGACGGGGCGGGAGGGGAGGCGCGGGCGGCGGAGGAGGTCGAGAGGCCGGGCCTGCGAGAGGCGCGGCAGATAAGGCGCGTTCGAAAGGGCGTTTGGACAGGGGTGGGATTTTGCGCTCGATTGCTCTCGCCAGCGCGTGACGAGCACGCCCCTTGCCCTTTTGAGGCAGCGACGGGGAGTGGGAAGAATTGAAGGGACGGAGAGGGCAGGGCCGGCGTGTTGTGGGTCGTTGCGACGGCCGCAACAAGGAGATCGGGGCATTCGGCGGATGCCTCGATTGACGGGTTTGATTTGCGTGCGTGGGCTTTCAAAGAACTGTTGGAACTGGATGGATACCTCCGGTTACACGGCGCATTTGTAGTGGCAGCATTGCCTTTGCGCCTTGCCTGCGATGGAGAGTGTTGCAGAAGTGTCGCGCGGGGAAATTCATATGTGATGGATGCGTTTGTGGTTCTTGTTCCCAGTCCATCGTATGATGCACAAACTGCCGTTGGCGGACAAGCTAGCATGGATAACTCCAACAACGCCGTCTATTGCGATGCATTGTGCATTAACGTGATGCCATGTCATTGATGTGGTACCATCCCCACATGTCCAAATTGCATGCCTAAAATAGACAGATAGAAAACAGCTAGCAACCCTGACACAAAATCAGCGGCTGCAAAAAAGCGCCTAAAATAAGCTAACAACCCTGACAACTTTGGACGTTGGCCAGTGCTGCGGACTAATTACGCCAGCATCGCTATTTTGTTGGTATGCTGGTCATTGTGGATTCTAAGCAGTTATAAAGATCAATTCTTGGTGGCAGTTACGCCATAGTTTATGCATTTTTCTGCATGGTTACGGTGCTACACGGTGCTCGGACTCAGGACCATCATCCACATATCAGATGAGCAGCAGATGTGTATCAAAATCGGAGTCACAGGCATGTGCATCGATGAAACGTCCAGCTATGGCATGCCAACAGTATGTGCTGAACCGCAGCTTGTTGGAACAGAAACGAAAACTTTCTATCTCCTGCCTGCTTGCACAGATCTCTGCGATGTGAGCATGGGCCCCTAAGCCAAGCAGACGGCTCTGCCCGCTGGACTCAGGGTCAGACCAGCGTCCTTGCAGCTGTTTTTGGCCCCAATGGGAAGGCTAACGCACATGCTCGAAAAGCCATCCTAAGTGTGTGCTTCAAAGCGGCAGGGCACGACAAAGGTTGGACACGCCTTTAGTGCTACTTTCTGGAATCTGTGAGCTGAGGTGAACAGCCATTCTGGCATGAGCAATGTGAATGCGAGTGACCATCAGTTGCCCTTGGGTGTGATGCCAGTACTTCCACACAATCAGAGGTTTAATGTGCATGGTGCATCTGTACTGTAAGTAATGATCCTTTCGAATAGACATGCGTTTCATTTCATGAGAATCACAAGATACCAGTCTGCTTCTCTTGCATGTTGACTCATTGGTGAGTCCATCAGAACAGTGGACCACATAGGCACGTTCAGCCCAATTGATGCCCTGCTTGCCTAGTTACTTCGTTCACCATCTTTGCGGTGCCACACAGGGCCGCAAGAGCTTGAATATGAGGCGCTGCTCCGCAGTACAATGGAGTCAGTGGTGGATGTCCATGAACACCCGCGCACTGTCATCTCCATCATACTTCAGGTTAGCGGTTTCTTACTTGGGAGGCAGGCGTAGCAGCATCTAAGGACAGGAGCCAGGACTAGTTGCATTTCATGGGCAGGATTATTGGTCCAACAACTGCATGCTGTGGCCCCATCGCTTTGGAGAGAGCTGCCTCATTGATGCAAGCCTGGATTAGTATTGCCATTGCTGTACCTTGGCAATCGCCTTATCGTTGCTGACAGCTTAAGTTGAAGGAACAAACTCAGACCTGATCATTGGCTGAGATTCACAACCGCCAAGCAGTTGGCGATCTAATGGCGCTGCGCAGATGTGTAACCATTGACACATCAACACGCCAGCTCTTATGTCAGTACTTCAGTCAGTACTGTCTCAGCTTGTCAGCACAGAGTATCGATTCTCAATACTTGCTGCATGACACCCCAAGAAATTTGATCAGCAGCGAGGTCAAGTGCACTTGACTCAGCCACTCTGGGCCTAAACCTTCAGGTGCTCCATGACGATGGCGGCGTGCTGCCTTGCGCATTCAATGCTGGATGCACAGCCCTGGTGGACGCAGGGATACCGATGAGGCACATGTTTGGTGAGTTGTTCGCAGGCCAGCGCGACACAAAAGCGCCAAGAGCAACACAGAGATGGAGGCCAAAACACCATAGAACATTAGACATTGAATTGGTTTAGCATTATTTTTCCCTGCAGAAAAGGCCAACCTTCCGTCGCTATGCGAAAGGTTTTAATATTTTTCGGTGTGAAGAAAATAAATATCAATAGAAAAGGAACCAAAATGCGACCTGCAATCTATTTGATCGCATTGGCCAAGACGTGACAAGCCTTGCCTTTGCACCCACAACTCAATGATCAACGGATTTCCATCCTCAAAAGCAAACGAAATGTGCCAGAACACAGCAAACTATGCTGACATAGGCCAGAATGTGCGAAACGTGCCAAAATATAGTGTCAAATGGACCACTGTGGGCATGTAGTGTTGCGCTCAAGCATGGAATTCTGCTGTTGCCAGCATCATTGCATGACACAACGCTGACTTTCCGCATTGGAAGGAAGACACCTCTGTGGATGTGTGGATGTGGTTTCTTCTGCACACCTACCCCAACGGCCTAGTTATCTGCCGGTACATCACGATGGAACGGTGCTGATGCCTGTCAACTCCCTTTTTTCTTCAACTTCCTTTTCATACTTGTTGAATGAGTTCTCAACTGCGTTACAAGAAGAAAGCTTCCGATATAGGTCGAGCCATTCAGGCAAATTCTCTTGTGTCTGAAATCAGCAGAACGTTTGCACTTATTTCATACTGCAGACTGCAAGGGTGCGGTGAGACAATTTGCTTCGGGTTCCCGGCTTGTTGCTCTGTTCGGTGTTGCCCTGACATCGAGTCTTGGTCTCTACTGTGCCTGGCGTTTGGGGGCGCACCCAATCTTAGTAGGTCATGACTTCGTCAAATGTTTGTCACTGAAGTGGAAAGTGTGGCTTTGTCGATATCGCTTCTTTGGTTCCTGTTCCTATCCATTTGTGGCCAACCAGCTGTGCTTAGGCTGGCCGGAAGTGAAAGCGAACGAGCGCCATATACGATGGCAGTGAATCCTGACATCTTGATTCTTGCTATCGGTGGAAGCTTGCCACATGTCTTAATCTCGACATTGTGCACCAGATTTCGCCAGCCGCGATTACGCGCATGGAGTTTGCCTGTCAGCGACGCACGGTTTTGTCCAGCTTCTTGTCAGTTAGCTTAGTCAACTTATGTGCCCTGGCAGCTTCTGTGGCCTGTGTAAAAGCTAAGGGAGGTGCCATCCTGGTGGACCCAACACTGTCGGAAGAAAAGGTATGGCTCTCTCAGTGTCGGCGGACAAGTCTGTGTTGCATTCTCTCAAATTCCATTGCTTTGCATTGCGATTAAGAGTCGAGGCGCCACCGACGTTGTAGCTGTGATGCTGTCGTTGTTGCTCATCGGATTACATGGCAGTGCAACGCTTAAGTATGTTTTTGTCCCCGCCCTTTCTCAGTAAATTCCCATAGTCCATACTGGATAGCAATAGTGAGATATAGCATATCTACGGTACTTCCTTGAAGCACAGTATTCCTAGCTCACGGTTGGTTTGCTGATTAATGGCTCATTTTCGTGCACAACGAAAGGCTTTCGTTGTGTGCTGGCTTAGCCAGCACCGTGGCCCGTTTGGCTGTCACCCTGTGACCCTGCTCCTGTAACCCCGCACCCCTCTTTCGCCACATGTGGGATGCCCTTGATCGATGACAAGCCAGCCACGTAATGGAATATGCATCGCCTTCAGTACAAGACTGCGATGGGATTGGCAGGGTTGTCCCTGGTCCCGGCTGGTGGGCTGCAGCGACAAGCATGCCGGAAGTCCAGAAAACCAATTTCGAATGTGCTGCTCTTGATCGCTTTGTATGTGCCTGATACCAGCGTACTGGTGCCAAAGTGCTAGTGTCAAAATACTTGATGATGCAAATATTGGTACTGATTCTAGAATTTAGTAATATAGGTACCAAGACTAGCAGTATTAGCCTTGGGTCCAAGGGTGCCAAAACTGCGAAGCACTATGGTACCAAATGCCAAGTGGTGCATGCACATTGCCCTAAAGGGTGTTTGTGCATGTTTTATCAAAATTAGACACCTGCAACAACAGAGGCAGCACCTGAAACTAATCCACAAGTGCAGGATCTGATGGCCCCACAGTCCTCGTGCGCTAGCCCGGCGCTGCTCCCGGAATGTTGTTTGGCCGCGTTTCGTTGTGTGGCGTTGGCGGGAGGCATGTGATCGCCTTTAGCCAATCGATTTGCCGTGAGGTTAGGCACCTACAAGGCGACGACGCGCTGCATTTTCGCATATCGTTTGTGCCAGAGATGCTGATAATCTTGGGCATCCGCCGCATGCTCAATTGCAGTGGGCTGGCTTGTAAAAGCACGCTGTCTGTGCCTGAATTGAACAGCTTGCTGAAGTAAGATACTCAGCTGTGACAGCTGGCCATCTTGATGCGGCAAGCTGCTAGATATAGGTTCTGAGGCTTGGCTTTTACGCCGTAAAAAC